AAAGCAGAAGATTTTTGAAAAGATTTACAAAAGTTATCAATAAATTGCAGAAAATAACTTTAAAGGACAATAACTCCAATAAGATATCAATTACCAATTAGTCATGTTAACTTATTTGTAGATCTTTGTTTGCTTGATATTTTTGCTGTTTACAGTATATCTTAATCTATAATGATATTTCAGATAATTAACAAAAAATAAAAAATTTCCTTTCCTCCGATCCAAAATCTATTTCACCCAGGGCCTGTATAATGCTATAAATGCCTTTAAATGTTTTTATGGAACACCCTTCAATAAAAAATTGGGTAGGGGTTCCCCTGACCCCGACTAACCCGCGAGGTCTGGGGGGAATTCACCCAATATACGTACTATGCTGAAAGAAAATATATAATAATGGTTTATAGAAAAAGTAACACTGAATTATTCTGAAAATTGAACATATCAAGGAGAAATTATTAGTACCCCTGAAAAAAATGCACCCCTGGAAAAAAATCATGTCATTCAATTGTAGTCTTACAATAGTTATTGTAGACCCCTTATCATTATTTAAATTAGTTTTCAAGTTGTTACCATTTGAAATTGTTTTTTTACATTTTTCCCATAGACTTCTATAGTAAACCCCTATGTTCTATTTTTACCAATGGGACCATGTTGATTGTAGGACAAGGTCATCGGATACATTTTTCAATCAATAAACTCTAATAATAATTGTGGCTAAGATTAATTTCATTTGGCCAAGTTGATTAAGAAGAGAAGATTTTTGTAAAAGATTAAAAAAATTTACGAAAAATAGTGAAAAAAATTGATTTTAAAGGACAATAACTCCTTAGGGGGTCAATTGACAACTTTGGTCATGTTGACCTGATGAACATTTTAACTCCGTTAGATTTGCTCTAAATGTTTATTTTCAGAGATATAAGGCAAAAACTGCATTTTACCCCTATGTATTATTTTTGGCCATAGCGGCCATCTTGATTGGTGGGCGGGTCATCGGATAAAGATGATGAGTCAGTTGAGCTAAAAAGGAGAAGTCCATGCAAAATCAAACGATCGGCTATGTCAATAAACGAAACAAAATCACCGTGTCCCCAGAATTCAGTTGATTTTTATTCTTTTTTTTCTGTTAATTTTTTTCATTTTTTCCTTAATTGTGTACGGTTTCTTTCTAAACACTATGAAATTGTCAAAATTCACTGGTACCCTAAGGTATATCTACTCAACTTTTATAATAAATTGAGAATGGAAAGGGGGAATGTGTCAAAGAGACAACAACCCGACCAAAGAGCAAAAACAGCCGAAGGTCACCAATAGGTCATATTATGTAAAATTATTGCAATTGTTATATTATGTGAAGGAGAAGACTTTATAAGGTTGTAAAACTTGTGTCCGATCATATTCGTCTCTTTGAGCAAATAAAATGGTTATAAACCAATCCAAAATGAACGACTGGTCCTGTAAAGGCATAATCCGAAGAAAATGGTGGGTAAAATCCGATTTTATAGATAGCTAAACCCCCACTTGTTTGACAGTCGTATATAGTTCCGTTCTATTGACAAAATTGTGTGAGCAACCAAAACAGACATAATTGGTTAATAATTAGGATCCAGCAGTCAAAATTATGCAAACATACCAGCATAGATGTACAACATATCTTCTTAACTAAAACATTCAAACAAACATCAATTAAATCTAACATAGACGCCAACAAAAACATTTTTGTAGTTGATAGTTGAGATAATTGTTTCAGTTTAATAAATCATTATACAGGCATTAAAAGAGAGGCGAAAGATACCAGAGGGACATTCAAACTCATAAGTCGAAAATAAACTGACAACGCCATGACTAAAAAAAGAAAAAGAACAAACAGACAAACGATAGTACAAAAAACACAACATAGAAAACTAAAGACTGAGCAACACGTACGCCACCAAAAATGAGGGTGATCTCAGGTGATCCGGAAGGGTAAGCAGATCCTTCTCCACATGTGGCACCCGTCGTGTTGTTCATGTTAGTACAAACCCGGTTAAAAAATTCGGTAGGTCACATTCGTGAAAAGGGGACGGGATTTTAGTTATGACATTAGGAACATATCAGCTATCATCTTTGAAACTCATATTCCTTAACGGTCAACCAACTCGTGATGGCGTAACAAAAAATCAATTGACTGTATCAGCTAGTTTGTATATTGATTGCTTTTTTTCTAAACTTGTTTATTTTACAGAAAATACCTTAGAACATCCTACTGCATTTACAGCAATATCTACATTTGCAAGTGGACTTCCAAATGGTCCCATTCCGTTTGACAAAGTAATTGCCAATGTCGGCAATACTTATAACCCAAGCACAGGAATATTCACAGCGCCTGTATCTGGACTTTACAGTATATCCGTCTCTATCATGGGTCTTAATGGGAACACAATGCTTGTTACCCTCCATAAGAATGGTCAGGAACTTGTAAGACTTTGGACACATGGGGGAGGTATAGCCGAAGTAGCATCTCATACCCTTAATCTTCCACTCAAACATGGAGACCAGATGTGGGCCAGTGGAACTCCTGGACATAAGATATACGCAGTAAAGCCTTATAACGTATTTTCAGGAATATTGATTGCAAGCGGAAAATTCAATGAAACATAGTTACATAGATCAATAAAATTCTCTTTGAAATTCTTTTCATTTCCTCCACACATAGTACTGCAGTTAGACATCTCGAAGGTGAATACATTTATTTACCCTAAACAAATAAGATTAAGATACCATGTATGAAAAATCAACACGCATGTATACATCGACTTGCATTCCAATTTAAATCTAAAAGTTTAGAACAATAGTATGCACTTATAACCTGTAAGTGTACACAAATTTATAATTTTGATTAAATTACGTAAAAAACGGACGGAATAACATGAACATCTATCTATCAGCGAGCGAGCTAAATATATTTTTAACATATGCATGTGCAATATGTTCAATCATACAGTACACTTTTGGTTCAAGTGGTCGTTTGCACATAAGCAAAATCAAATCGAAGCAATTACTGAATGGGGTTAAAAACCAAACATGTTCGAATGTAAGAAATGTGAACTTAAAACTCCAGCAGATGGATATACAGATTCCATACAAACACGTACTAAAGACAACGCATAGATCCCTCCGAAAAAAATAAAACAATACGAACTTAATATACACAGGGGCGGGTCCAGGTGAGGGTGTAATGGGCGTACGCCCCCCCCCCCCCCCTTTTTCAAAAAAACCTATTGTAATCTGCTAATATTGTATTGAATATGGCAATTTATTATACGTCACAATTGTTTTATGTTTTTTAGTCAAAAAAAGGTCCAAAAAAAATTTCGCCTCGGGGCGAAAGATTTGATTCTACGCCCCCTCTTTTAAATAACCTAGATACTCCCCTGATCCACATGTACTTATTGCTGAGTATATAACTTTGTTCTACAACTACGTGTGCAAAAATCTACAAAAAAAGAAATAAGACTCTAATTCAACATTCTAAACATAAGTGAAGAAGATATTGTATATACAGTAAGTTGAAATTATCAGAGATAAATAAAAAATTAAAAAGGATCTGTGATTTCTTTTGAATATGTGTAAACGAAGGAAATATTTGAACGATAAATAATTCTTGTTCATACATGTAATAAAAAAAGGAATACAGTAAAGTAACCACTACAATCACATGAAATCTTTGACAACAGCAGTTAAGTTATTTCTTTGATGGTATACGATTAAATTGAGAATGGAAATGGGGAATGTGTCAAAGAGACAACAACCCGACCATAGAACAGACAACAGCAGAAGGTCACTAACCGGTCTTCAATGCAGCGATGCACCCGGAGGCGTCCTTCAGCTGGCCCCTAAATAAATATATATACTAGTTCAGTGATAATGAACGCCATACTAAACTCCAAATTGTACACAAGAAACTAAAATTAAAAATAATACAAGACTAACAAAGGCTAGAGGCTCCTGACTTGGGACAGGCGCAAAAATGCGGCGGGGTTAAACATGTTTATGAGATCTCAACCCTCCCCCTATACCTCTAGCCAATGTAGAAAAGTAAACGCATAACAATACGCACATTAAAATTCAGTTCAAGAGAAGTCCGAGTCCGAATATTTTTGAACAGTAATAAAAGAGAAGTTTACCTTTACGTGATCGTTGAGTCCATTAACATCCCTATCCTGGATCACGGTTATATTTGAGTGATAGACATCAAACTCTTAGGTAAATTGGCATTAAAGTAACATATATTTTTTCAACTTTTCTTTCGTAAGAAATCGTCTAATAACTTTCTCACGGAGAATGACCAAAATATTATTATGTTTGGAACTACATCTGTGTCGACATGACATTGGAGTAAATATTTACTATTTTGAATGAAACATTAACAGATAATGGACAAGATTTCAAATTGTTGTTAGCATAAGACTCATTAGTGGCGCTCGAATCAAAACAGTTACAAAGCCAAATCAATAACAGAGTTAAAAAGCATCAATAACCGAAAATTCACACAAAATTGTGTCAAATACGACTAAGGCAATATGTATACCTGAAGAAAAACCTTAGTGTTTTGAATACTTCAACTTTTTATAAACAGTTGATTAACAGAAAATATATTCATGTCAGCACAAAAGTGCTGACTACTGGTATGTTGATGCCCTAGGGGACGAAACGTCCACCAGTATCGACCCAGTGGTTATAAAACTTCATCAAAGATACCAGGCTTATAATTGGGTACGCCACACGCGTTCCGTCTACAAAAGACTCATAATAATTGCAAAAAAACGCAAATGAATTGGTTTAAAATTGTCATTTATGGTAATTACACCCATAGGAAGTCCATAGTCCGAGATTACTCTGAAGTCCAACGGCCCCCAGCTTGTCTGGCAAAAGAGCCGTAGGGCGTCAGAGTAATCTCGGACTAGGAAGTCCATAGACAATTCCAAACGCAGAAACATTGTTATTATTGTTAAGATACATACCTCAAACATATACTGACCCCTCTGCTCTTTATTTAACATCAGATGTGTATTTGATTAGATCAAGTGATCACCGGATACAATTTTCAAACCAGAGTGTCATGTTGGGGAGTGGACTAATCAGCAGTCCTTTTGGTCCAGGTGTAGTCCAAGTAATTATGACGTCTTGAAAGGCTATTATATTTTTTTTCTTTGACGCCTTAAATCGACGTCATAATGCCGAACTCATATTTTCAGTTGGACTTTGAGAGGGAATTTACTGCTTTATTAAAACGTTTAGCCGATTTCTCCTTAAGATGCTTCATTTTAGGAGTATAAAATATATTTTTGAACCAAACTTGGTAAAATTTGACGGACTTGAGTTTCCGGATAATATAAAGCAAAGGTTCCGGAAATTCGGGTCTGTCAAATTTTACCGAGTTTGGCTCAAAAATTTATTTTATTCTCTCCTAAAAAGAAATCAGATAAACGTTTTAAAAAAGCAGTAGATAATCTTCCGCCTCGGATGGAATTGTAACTTATTTTATTATTACTGTAGGGATTTATTGGAAATATTTTGCACAAACAAACACATAAAAGGTAAGAAATTTATATATGCAAAAAGTTTTAGCCTTCAATGGAAATTTTATGGCTAAATTGGGTCTCAAAGTTGAGAGCAAAATATGCTCTAAAAGTCCAACCGAAAATGGTGGCTTCAACATTATGACGTCGATGTAAGGCGTCAAAGAAAAAAAATATAATAGCCTTTCAAGACGTCATAATTATTTGGACTAGTCCAGGTGAAGTAATAATACATATTATTCCAAATGTTCAGACACTTCGAAAATGTCACCTATTCCATTGAATCAGTTTTCCTGTCAAACACATGCGGAAAACAAAAGATAATTGCGAGTCAATTTCAATCTAATCATACAGCTCCGTCAGTCACACATCCGGGGGGATAATCGAATCTCCGATCGAGTAAAACGCTTCGTAGAATGTCAGCGGAGAATCTACTATGCAATCAAATAGTTAGTTAATATGGGAAATGCAGCGAAGGATTAGAACAATTCCAACATTACAGGAAGAAGTCAGCGGAGAATTGCAGAGATTTTCCATTCATGAATAATCAGTCAAACACTTAGATTAAAGTCAGTGGGATATTTCACATCAAATTAACCAAATGAAAATGTCAGCGGTGAATTGCCAAAACATCTCCTATTCAAACTTGAGAAAATTCAGCAAAGAATTGTAGAGAATTTCCTATCAAGTTCAACACTTACAGAAAAAAACAGCGGAGAAAGCGTAGAATTTAACAGCCGGTCATACACTTTGCAAAATGTCAGTGGAGAATTGCTGAGAATTTGATATGCAGTCAAACTCTGAGTGAGAAGTCAGAGGTAAATTGCGGAGAATTAATCGATTCAAACAGGCGTTAAAATCAACGGAGAATCTCGCATACAGTCAAACTTTTCGTAAAAAAATAGCGGGAGAAAAACGAAAAAATGCTATCCAGTTGAACATTTTGGGAAAATTGAGTCAACAATTATTGGTAAAGTCAGCGGAGAATGTCATAGAATACTTATTTTAGAAAAATGTTGACGTATGAGCAACATTCAAACTAAAGACTAAACTTTTACTGCTATGTCCAATGGCACACCGTATTTATATATGTATTCAACTTTCAATATATTTAATAATTATTATCTTGATGATATCTTTACAAGTTTGCTTTTTTTATTGTATTGTATTGTATTGTCGTATGTTCTTTCCGGCTTTTGTTTAAACATGCACGTAACTATTTTTTTAACATTGTTGTGATAGTCTTGGTCATTTCTTTGATTTTATGTCTTTTGCTATGTGTTGTTTATACGCTCATGTCGCTTTACTTTATCTATTGTCTTTTGTTGAAGAGTAAGCGTAGATGTCGGGCGGGTGTTCACACATGAGAAAGAAACACAAAGACGCAAAAAACAAAAGACAAAAGTATTGTATTCAATGTGCTTATTTTTATGTATTTTTTTTAGTTTAAACAATATTTATTCAGATAAATCATCACATAACGATATAATATAATTGAAATAAATATTTAGGATTCAGAAATAAGCAAATTTGCTTTTACAAATCAGTCTCCTATTACACAAATAATACACTTATTGAACAACACATAATTATAAATACTGGCATGCTCTGTAATAAATATACAAAAAAATATGAAAAAGGTGAAAAATACAATAGAGAAAAAAAAATAAACATTAATTTTTGTAATGAATACAGTGTGAAATGCTTGGGTTCTTATTGAATGATGAAGCTGTAACATCAAGGGTTAAAACGTTTGCTTTTGATAATGTATTTCTGCACCAAACTAAATAAATGAATATTTTGTTCATCTGAGAGTACCATAATCCAAAAAGCCAAACTTTTGTGTCAACTTGGACAGGAAGAACTGAAACAGAAGCTAATAGTTCATGTCTTAAATCGATGTATATGTGACAAGATAACAGGAAGGGAGAATTTGTTTCTACATCACCACAACGGCAGTTTGGGGAGTCTACTAAATTACGACGGAATAGGTGATAATTCAATGAACGAACTTGAATCCATTCTTAAGCGAGCATGAATAATTTGACCAAGACAATATCCTACATAATAATACATTGTGACCTTACTATTTTGGAAACAAATTTGTTTTTTTATAAAATGGTAGAGATTCACATTTTCTTATGTTTACGTTAAGGATGTTCCATAGTCTTGTTGTTGCTGGGGTCCGTGTGTTGAGTTGTGTAATATTATTTCTTTGTCTTGTATAATGATCATGTCTTCTTCCCACTGAATCGGGCAATACGTCTTTTAAATACTCTGGAGTTTTATTATTCAAAATTTTGTGATAAAGAATTAATCTATGATTGCTTCGTCTATCAGATAATTTTTCCCACATATAAATTATTGATACTGATAAGTTTGGTACAACACCCCCGCCCCCGGTTCTTATACATCCTCTGCTGTCTTTCAAATATTCGGCATTGAGCATTCCTGATGAAGGTAATTCCAAATAAGCGCTTCAGACGCATGAAATTATTTCACGTGTTGTTTTCATTTTAACAGCAGTTGGTCGATACCTCTGCTGGTGGACTATCCGTCTCCGATGGAATCATCAGCTCAGTAGTCAGTACTTCGGTACTGACATGATTTCTAACAAACCTTAGATGGATTTGGCTATTTTTTAGATATTTTTGGTCATATAGCTCTTCAACTGTTTCGGTTCTTTGTCGGCTTTGAGCGTTCCTGATGAAAGCAAATACGAAAGCAAAAGCGATTCGAAAGCATGACATTATTTAACGTGTTGTTTTCATTTTTTTTATGCTTTTTTGTTGTCAATGGTACATCACGAATAAGACTCTTCTTTTACTTCAAGATTACCAAATAATGATAAATAGAGAATTTAAGGACTAATTCGCTGATTTGTTTAACCTTCGTGGATATGATTAATACAATGTCGGGATTGTTTATGATGTAGAGTATTGTTATTCGAAACGACTCTACTGGTAGATATTCTAGAATATAATCTAACCCGTTCAGAGCACATCGTTATCTTTCTTTCAGCTCTGATTCCTGTGTATTCCTAGATTGATTTGGTTACGTGGGTTATAAATCATTCTTAATCATAATTGTTTCATCATTTATATATTTGCTACTGTATTCTGTAATATTTTGACTTAACAGGTGAAGACAAAACATTCATTATCTGAAAGAGAATAAAAATCAACTACTTAATATTCTTTAAAAAATATACATAACCGGCAATCAAAAATGATACATTGATGTTACTGCATATTGCCACTCCATTTAAAAACAGTACTGGTTTTTTGAAAATCCTTCTGAATATTTTCTGAACAAAAATAGATATACAGTGAAGAAAACAATAGGAAAGTATTGCATGTAAACAAAAATTCAGACAAAATAAAGATATGAAGCCCATTTTTGACCAGTCTATAAATTCTGATTCCACTGTTAGTATGCCTCTATAACTTGTCATATTTGGGTCAGTATGACACTGTAGAGTGAAATCGACACCATTCTTATAAGTAATATTATAGGATAAACTTGAACATGTAATATTTTCCAAACTAAATTCTGTACAATTTGAAGCTGTTATGTTCATCGTATTCATATCGCGAATGGTATAAAAATCAATGTAGTAAAGAGATTCTCTTAAACTTACTATTACTGATGTATCTGTGACAAATACCCAAAAAAAACATAGAACATATACAAATGCTGGGTAAAATACCAATACCAAACAGCCCTGTCCAAGAAGGCCTATGTATAAATATTACCGTATTTGAATGTGACATTCCTTGTGACATCAGGATAAATATATTAGCAACAAATATCGCCATATACATAAACCTATATATAAATTGAATGTACACTAATACACCGAATAATATGAAACCACCACATCCTACTGCAACAATTAGAAATGTACGCCTAAGAAAAACGGAATATGTTATTTTGAACGTAATTGATAATGACCAAAATAGTGAAAAAGTGAGCAATATAAAATATATGCTTCTCGTCAGCGGCACCAAGGTAATATTACCAGATTCTGCGACTTGCCCAACGCAATAAACTGCATTTTGACTTTCTAGACTAATCATAATGGAAACACATACTGGTAGGACAACAGTCAGTGCAATTAAGGTAAACAGGTATAAGGCAAATACTGCATGAGTCTTCTTAATTGATTGTTTATACGTTGCACTGTATTTTATATAATTGGCTGTATCAGAACGGCAATCGATCAACTCATATGCTGAAAAGCCACTTTCATTACATAAATAAGGATCAGCCCCATTCCGTAGTAATGTTTCTATACAATCACTACTCTCCTCTTTTGAAAGGTGTCCCTTTATAATAGAATGTAAGGGACGATTACCCTCCTTGTCTGGCATGTTTACAAAGTCACGGAAAACAACTTTGAGAGCAGTTCGAAGGGTAATATTAGAAATCATGGTCCTAAAAGCTGACAGAGCTGGTTTGTTATACCCATTCTCCTCTTCTGCGCTTTGATTAGTCTCAGAGCTTTGTGAGAGCAATAATTTTGTTGCACGGTCACTTTTTGTGTAATGTAGAGGTGTTCTATCGAAATCATCAGGAACCTTTACTTTAGCTTTATTACGAAGTAGAAGAGCTAGTATTTCAATGTTATTGTTTATTACTGCTAGATGGACAGCAGTTAGTCCGTTATTGTCAACTTTGCTCACTTTTGGTATCGGCTTTCTGCAAATCAATTTCCTT